GAAGACGGCAATACGCCAGACAGTGAAAACGGAGGAGCGAACGTGTTCGCAAGGAGTGGGATATTGCAGAGATCACCAGTGTCGAACCTGGGGGTCACTGCGAGTTCCAGTAGCAGCAGTAAGTTTCAAGAAGAGCAGCCAGGCGTTGGGCTAAGCCAGATATTCACACCAATATCCAGTAGTAGCAAATCCCAAGAACTGCAGCTCGGGAGAACCAAAATGACGGAGGTCAGGAGGAAGATCGATGATCTCTATGTGTTCGTGAAGGATAAAAACAACGTACACAAAGAGATCAAGCAACTTGTGACCGGTATCAAATCCGGCATAACAGTGGCAGATCGGGAATGTCAAGAGTGGAGAAAAAGGTCCGAAAATGCCGAAAAGGCTCTGCTGGAGGCCAAGGAGAGCATAAGACTGGCTCAAGCACATGAGACTCCGAAGGGACCCACAAATCCACGTCCTGAAAAGAGAGATAGGGACACGCCAGGAGATGAGGAGGAGCCCAAAAAACGCAGGGACGACGAGGAAGGCATCAAGGAGATGGGAGAAAATGGTGCGTGGCGTAAAGTCGAGAACCAGAAGGAGAGGAAGAAAAAACAGAAGGAAGATGAAGTGAGGAAGAAGGAAGAGGAAGCGAGGATGAAGAAAGATGAAGCGAGGAAGAAGGAAGAGAAGAAGAAGGAAGACAGGAAGAATAAGGAGAAGCCTAGGCCTCGTAGGGAGAGAAGCAAGGGTTACGCTCTGGTTGTTGAGGCGAAGGACAAAACGTCCTACGCAGCACTCCTCCGGAAAGTGAGAGAGGATCCGGAGTTGAAACAACTAGGCGAGAATGTGGTGAAAACCAGGCGAACCCAGAAAGGCGAGATGCTATTCGAGCTGAAAAGGGACCCTACGGTTAAGAGCTCAGCTTTTAAGGAGCTCGTCGAAAAATCTCTTGGCGAGACGGCGAACGTAAGAGCCTTATCCCAGGAGTCAGTGGTCGAGTGCAGGGATCTGGACGAGATCACAACAGAAGACGAGTTGAAAAGTGCGCTGAAGGTGCAATGCAACCTGGGAGACGTACCGATGGCAATTCGGTTGAGAAAGGCGTATGGTGGCACGCAGACGGCGTCGATACGACTTTCTTCGGACGCAGCTAACGAGCTGCTGAAGACTGGCCGAATCAAGGTTGGGTGGTCAGTGTGCCCGTTGAAAGCTATTCCTCGGGTATCTAAGAAAATGGAGAGATGCTACAAATGCATGGGCTTCGGTCACCAGGCAAGAAACTGCAAAGGCCCTGACAGATCTGATCTGTGCAGGAAATGCGGAGAGAAGGGGCAAGTTGCAAAAGACTGTACAAAGCAACCAAGGTGCATGCTCTGCAAAAAGGAGGTCAACAACGGAAACAAAGTGCGACGTTGCAATCATTGCAGAGCCATATCGAGTCCCTCTCGATAATGGTAACTGGGTGGCGGATAGAGCAGGAATGGCGGCCATACAAGTCATGGGCAGGTATCCCATTCAACAAGTGGTGGCGGGCTCATACGAAGGTTTCGTGATCACCAAAATCAATGGAATCTATGTATGTAGTTGCTACGCACCACCGAGATGGACAATTGAGCAGTTCCACCAGATGCTAGATGGGCTCACCGGAGAGCTTTTTGGACGGAGACCAGTCTTCATCGCAGGAGATTTCAATGCTTGGGCAGTGGATTGGGGGAGCAGATGTACCAACGCAAGAGGGTATAGCCTGCTGGAAGCTCTGGCAAAGTTGAACGTCAGTCTGGCCAACTTAGGAACCATCAGCACCTTCCGCAAAGATGGTAGGAAATCCATTATCGACGTCACTTTCGGCAGTACGTCGCTAATGGCAAATGTGAACTGGAGAGTGTGCGAAGAGTACACCCATAGTGACCATCAGGCGATCCGGTACAGTATCGGCGAACGGACACCGGTGGAAATGCGGAGGACGAAAGTAAGCGAGCGGAAGTGGAAGACGAAGGCACTCAATAAGGATCTCTTCATCGAAGCTCTAAGGGTAGACAGCAGCGTCCCGGGCCTAAGCGCGAACGAGTTGACCGAATCATTAGCAAGGGCATGTGACACAACTATGCCGAGAAAACTGGAGCCAACGAACAGTCGGCGTCCAGCTTACTGGTGGAACGAGGAAATTAGCACCCTCCGTGCTACTTGTCTTCTAGCCAGAAGACGTGCTCATAGAGCAAGAACAGAAGCACACAGAGAGGAGTGCAGGGTGGTGTTCGGAGAGGCCAGGGCTGCACTGAAGCGAAAGATAAAGCTGAGCAAATAGTTTCAAGGAGCTGTTACCCCTGGGGTATCGCATACCGAGTCGCGATGGCGAAGATCAGAGGTCCAACGATGCCGGTTGAAATGTGTCCCAACAAGCTGAAAGTCATCGTTGAGAGACTTTTCCCACAGCATGACCCAACGAACTGGACACCTACACCATATGGCGAGGAAGATGAAGACAACGTTGAACAAGTCTCCAACGAGGAACTCATAGAAGCAGCGAAAGGGTTGAAGGCGGGTAAAGCTCCAGGTCCGCATGGAATTCCCAACGTGGCGTTGAATGCGGCGATCCAGACGTTCCCGGACATGTTCAGGATGGTGCTGCAGAAATGTCTGGACGAGGGTCAGTTCCCTGATAGGTGGAAGGTACAAAAGCTTGTTGCTTTTGGCGAAGCCCAGAAAACCGCCGGGGGATCCTGCATCGTATAGGCCAATATGCTTGCTGGATACTGTCGGAAAGCTTTTGGAGAGGATCATCCTGAACAGGCTGACGAAATGCACGGAGAGTGAACATGGATTGTCGGAGAGGCAGTTTGGATTCCGGAAAGGAAGATTGACGGTGGATGCAATTCGGACAGTGATTGACAGAGCCGAGAAAGCTTCCAAACAGAAGCGGATAGGAAAACGAAACTGCGCCGTGATTACGATTGATGTGAAGAATGCATTCAATAGCGCCAGCTGGGAGGCCATCGCCAAGGCGCTCCATAGAATGAGGGTTCCAGACTACCTTTGCAGGATTCTAAGTAGTTACTTCCAGAACCGGGTCCTGGTCTACGTGACAGACACGGGGCAGAAATCGCTTAGAATCACGGCGGGAGTTCCCCAAGGCCCCATTCTAGGTCCCACGCTGTGGAACGGAATGTACAATGGCGTGCTGACGCTCAAGCTGCCCAAAGGAGTTGAGATCGTTGGCTTTGCGGACGATGTCGTCTTGACGGTAACCGGTGAGACGCTGGAAGAAGTGGAAATGCTGGTGGCCGAGGCGATAGATACGATTGGTAACTGGATGCAAGGAGCGAAGCTGCAGATAGCCCACCACAAAACAGAAGTGATGTTGATCAGTAACTGCAAAGCAGTGCAGCGGGCAGAAATCACCGTTGGAGAGCACACCATTGTTTCGAAGCGCATGCTAAAGCGCATGCCACGTCGAATATGCTTGCGAGAAGGCGGCGAAGCTCATCAACGCAATAGCCAGAATCATGCCGAACAATTCTGGTCCAAGCAGCAGCAAGAGGCATCTTCTGGCTAGTGTGTCCCCATCGATACTAAGGTACGGAGGTCCAGCCTGGATTGAAGCGCTGAAAACGAAGCAGAACCAAAGGAAATTGAGCAGTACGGTCCGGCGCAGGCAGTATGCGTTATCGCCGGTATGATCCCAATTGGCATCACCTTGACGGAGGACTACGAGTGCTATATGACGAGAGAAACCAGAGGAGTACGAAAAATGGTGAGAACGGAGTCGATGGCTAAGTGGCAGCAGGAGTGGGATGCAGCAGAGAACGGTAGGCTAATACCGACTCTTTCGACCTGGGTGAACAGGAAGCATGGAGAAGTCAAGTTCCACTTGACGCAGTTCCTGTTTGGTCATGGATGCTTCAGGAAGTACCTACATCGGTTCGGACACACAACGTCACCCTTCTGTCTGGAGTGTGGGAATGTGGAAGAATCACCAGAGCACGTGGTCTTCGAATGTCATGGATTTCCCTTAGCACGGAGAATGTCGTCGACGAAATGTGTCGAGAGGAAGGCACCTTTAACGCCGTCAGCAGAGCAGTAACGTAGATCATGCAGCGAAAATGGCGAGAAGACCAACTAGAAAGTAGTAATGTGCTCACACAAGTGCGAAGTGTTAAGCCGAAGCCGGGAGAACTCTCCGTAAGATTAGGCTGTATCCACCACCGGGGATAACCGAGTAGAACGTGACGCTGGGAGCTAAATGGCTCACAAATTGGAGAGACGATCAGCACACTGGAAGCGCCAATTAGCTGAGGTAAAGTGAGGTGCGTAATGCACGGCCCCCTCGGAAGTAACCCAGACAACCAGAAGTCGTATAGCAATGTACAGACGGTATCGTAAATAACTACAGTTTTTGTCACCATCGCATACAAGTATGGCATACATCGCATTATGTTTAAGTTAAATCGTATAGAATGCAAATTTCCGAGTTTTATGCGATGAATCATTTTTCCATCGTACTGTACCACAAATTAAATCGGATTACATCGTAAGACTTTTCAAATTGAATTTTTTATGACAGACTGAATCGTATATGATGCCAAATCAACTCGTTTAATTATAAATTAAGATTTGCACGTATGTGGCCTCCACTTTTGTAGGTATAAGCCCTTTTTTTGCATTCTATACGATTTGATTGTTTGTATATATGTTTGTATATCACAGAAACAACTTTGAATATACGTGCATTCTGGTTGTCTGGGAATACGACAAGTGGTTCCGGGGTAAAAGGGCAAGGCGTCCAAGGAGGTTTTAGTGCGGTAAGAATCCCACATACCGTGTCACCGCGACTGTACGCCCAGTCGTCAAGCGGTGGTACGATGGCCTTTTTGAAAGTTTCCTCCTTGCAAAAAAAAAAACACACACACACACCTATTCATGGCACTCCAAGTAGGTTAAATGGTCATCAATCAACTGCGTCGTCCAAAAATGGGTAGAAAATGTATCGAACTAAGTCGTCGCACCCACGCACTCACCTCAAGGTACTTTCCGCCAAGTCACGAAGGTAAACCGTAAGCAAACGTCTGAACGATCACTTCCTTTTGCAGTGGTTTATGGAGCACTGTGGTACCCTGAAATAAAAAAGGAAACTTATCGTTAGTATACATCCTGTATTCACCTTCATTTCTTTCCCTAAGCAGTCAATCAAATTGGAGAATTATTAGTAAACGCACAACGCACCGGTCGTCCGGAGAAGGAAGAAAATCCTATTGCAGTTAAAGACACACTCACGTTTTACTTTTTTTTCTGAATGGTTAGAATCAAGCCACGACCGTACCCAAGTGGCTACCGTCAAGCTCCCGGCAGTTGATGCCAGGAAGGCGGCAGCCACAGGGAGGGTACGAGTGGGCTGGTCGGTTTGCCCGGTGAGCATCCCCCGACCGGTTATGGCTTGCTTTAGGTGCTTCGGTCAGGGTCATGTGGCCCGTGACTGTAAGAACACCGACAGGAGCAAACTATGCAGATGGTGCGGCTCGGAGGGCCATAAGGCGCGAGGTTGCCAAAATCCGCCGAGGTGCACTATATGCGCGGAGAAGGGGAAATCCCCTACCAACCACATGCCTGCGGTACTTGTCGGCCTAAGACCGGTGGTCATTGCGGGCGACTTTAACGCATGGGCGGTGGAGTTGGGGAAGCCACCACACCAACAAGAGAGGATGCATCCTACTGGAGGCAATGGCCAAACTGGACGTTGTACTTGCCAACACCGGTTCGGTGAGTACCTACAGAAGGAATGGTGCAGAATCCGTACAATATGGGTATTTTCGGAAAGGGGATGACGTGTAGAGGTCGGAAATCGATGCCAGACGCAATTTTGAAATCCAAGATGGCGGTCATCGGTTCAAATACCCTACTATATGAGTATTTTCGGAAAGGGAACGAACGTGTAGAGGCTGGAAATCGATGTCATTTGTTCGTTGGTAAAAAAAAAAATTGAAAGAGTTCAGTATTGCCTTAACCAAGTGTTTAACTGCGATGAAACAAAACTGTTTTACAAAAAAAGACCTTATATCTCAGAGCATCTGAAAACAATGCCGGTACCGAAAGGGGACAAACAAGCGTTCTCAATCATGTTTTTCTCTAAAACGAAATTTACAGGAAGTAAATCTCCTTGGGCTACAAAATGGTGAGTTGACAACCTGGAAGGAGCGGAATACCTAGGCTGGTCCTCACTTCACGCCTCCTCGAGTCATATGATAACAAAAGACTACCAGCTGAAACATGGACACAGCTGGCTGGCGTAGCCTGGGCAATGTTGCCTGTCCGGCAATAGCAAAGTGAAGAGGTGCGACGCGAACACTGGCGTGGTAACCATAGTACGGTGATAGAGGAAATGCTTCACCAAACCCGAGCGTCTGTTCACCATGGAGGTGCGGCTCAAAACGGCGTCTGTTCTCCATGTTAGGAGCGGCTGATCACCGTCCTAGTGCCAGCGTGGGACTCTAAACAGAGCTGTGCACGATGGTCCCCCGGCGAGACAGGGGGTTGGGGCAGGCCCAACAAGCCACCTTGAAAAAAAAAAACAAAGTTGCAAATACCGAAGAAAGAAATACGGATTGGAACAATCAGCACAGACCTACGCGACGAAATAAGGACTACGATTGGAAACTCGGAACATGGAACTGCAAATCGCTCGGCTTCCCGGGTTGCGATAGATTAATCTATGACGAACTTCAACCACGCAACTTCGAAGTCGTAGCACTGAAGGAACTTTGCTGGACGGGACAAAAGGTATGGAAAAGCGGGCATCGAGCGGCTACTTTCTATCAGAGCTGTGGCACTACCAATGAGCTGGGAACCGGCTTTGTAGTGCTGGGTAAGATGCCCCAACGCGTGATTGGTTGGCAGCCGATCAACGCGAGGATGTGCAAGTTGAGGATTAAGGGCCGTTTCTTCAACTACAGCATCATCAACGTGCACTGCCCACACGAAGGGAGACCCGACGACGAGAAAGAAGCGTTCTATGCACAGCTGGAGCAGGTGTACGACGGCTGTTCGTAACTGGACGTCAAAATCGTCATCGGCGACATGAACGCTCAGGTAGGACGGGAGGCAATGTATAGACCGGCAATCGGGCCAAACAGCTTGCATGCCGTATCGAACGACAATGGCCAACGATGCGTGAACTTTGCAGCCTCCCGGGGTATGGTAGTTCGAAGTACCTTTTTCCCCCGCAAGGATATCCAAAAGCCACCTTGAGATCACCTGACCAACACAAAGAAAACCAAATCGATCACGTTCTAATCGACGGGATATCTTCTCCGACATTATCAACGTGTCCACACGTACCACAGTGCGAATATAGATTCGGACCACTACCTAGTTGCAGTATGCATGCGCTCAAAACTCTCGACGGTGCATAACACACGTCGAAGTCGAACGCCGCGACCCAACATTGAGCAACTACGGGACGCCGGAGTTGCCCTGGACTACGCGCAGCAGCTGGAAGTTGCACTACCCACGGAAGAGCAGCTTGGCGCAGCTTCTCTTGAAGATGGCTGGAGGGACATCCGTTCAGCCATAGGTAGTACTGCTGCAGCGGCACTAGGTACTGCAATCCCGGATCGAAGAAATGACTAGTTTGACGGCGAATGCAAACTGTTAGTAGAGGAGAAGAATGCAGCACGGGCGAGAATGCTGCAACACCGCACGAGATTGAATGTGGAGCGATACAGACAAGGGCGGAACAGACAAAACTCGGTTTTCCGAAGGAAGAAGCGTCAGCAGGAAGACCGAGATCGCGTGGCAATGGAAAATCTGTACCGCGTAAACGACACACGGAAGTTCTACGAGAAGCTTAATAGTTCGCGCAAAGACTACGTGCCGCAAGCCGATATGTGCAAGGACTTGGACGGTAACCTTCTCACGAACGAGTGTGAGGTGATTGAGAAGTGGAAGCAGTACTATGACGAGCACCTCAACGGTGAAGCAGCAGAAAACGAAGGTGGCACGGCAACAGACCTTGGAGCACGCGCAGAAAACGACAGGCTACCGGCCCCTGATCTTCAAGAAGTTGAGGAGGAGATCGGTCAGCTGAAGAACAACAAAGCAACTGGTGTAGATCAACTACCAAGTAAGCTATTAAAATACGGTGTTGAAGCACTGGCTAGAGCGCTGCACTGGGTAATTGCCAAGATTTGGGAGGAGGAGAAATTACCGGAGGAGTGGATGGAAGGTGTCGTATGCCCAATCTACAAAAAGGGCGACAAGTTGGATTGCTGCAACTACCGCGCGATCACACTGCTGAGCGCCGCCTACAAGGTACTCTCCCGAATTCTATGCCGCCGCCTGTCACCATATGCAAGAGAGTTCGTGGGGCAATACCAGGCGGGATTCATGGGTGCCCGCGCTACCACGGACCAAATATTCGCGATTTGGCAGATTCTGCAGAAATGCCGCGAATACAACGTGCTCACACATCATTTGTTCATCGATTTCAAATCCGCATACGACACAATCGATCGAGATCAGCTATGGCAGATTATGAACGAGTACGGACTTCCGGATAAACTGACGCGATTGGTCAAGGCGACGATGGATCGAGTGATGTGCGTTGTTCGAGTATCGGGGACACTCTCGAGTCCCTTTGCATCTTGAAGGGGGTTACGGCAGGGTGATGGACTTTCGTGTCTGCTGTTCAACATCGCGTTAGAAGGTGTGATCAGAAGAGCTGGGATAGACACGAGTGGTACGATATTCAGAAAGTCCATCCAGCTGCTTGGCTTCGCCGATGACATTGACATTATGGCACGGAACTTTGAGATGATGACGGAAACGTACATCAGACTGAAGGCTGAAGCTAGACGGATTGGACTTGCCATCAACGCATCGAAGACAAAATACATGAAAGGAAGAGGTTCTAGGGAAGGCAATGTTAGCCTCCCACCCCGAGTTCAGATTGACGGTGACGAAATCGAGGTGGTCGATGAGTTCATGTTTTTGGGCTCACTGGTGACCGCCGAAAATGATACCAGCAGAGAAATTCAAAGACGCATTATGGCAGGGAATCGTGCCTACTTTGGACTCCGGAGGACGCTCCGGTCGAATAAAATTCGCCGCCGCACGAAGTTGACTGTCTACAAGACGCTGATTAGACCGGTGGTCCTTTACGGCCACGAGACCTGGACTATGCTCGTGGAGGACCAATGCGCCCTTGGTGTTTTCGAACGGAAGGTGTTGCTTACCATCTACGGTGGATTGCAGATGGATGACGGAACGTGGAGGAGGCAAATGAACCACGAATTGCACAAGCTGTGGGAGAACCATCCATCGTCCACATTGCAAAAATTGGGCGACTACGATGGGATGGGCACGTCGTAAGAATGCCGCACGACGACCCAGTGAAAATGGTTCTAGAAAGTGACCCAACAGGAACAAGAAGAAGAGGCGCGCAGCGGGCAAGGTGCATCGACCAAGTAGAAGGTAACCTGCGGACCCTTCGCAGACTACGAGGCTGGCGAACTGTGGTCATGGATCGAGTAGAGTGGAGACGACTTTTTCGGACAGCAGGGGACAACAAGGCCTTAGCCTGATTGGTAAGGTAAGGTAAGTAAATCTTCTTGGCCATTATCTTGACAACATAAAAGGTTGGATGACCCGAGACTTATTTGAGGACTGGATAAACGATTGCTTCTCATCACAGTTGGAGGAGTTTTGCGCAGCCAAGAACATAAGCTTCAAGGCTTTGTTGCTCCTTGGTAACGCTCCGTTGCATCCGCCCACCATAAGCAATCGCAACATAATGCTTCTATACATGCCACCAAAGATCACGTCTCAAGGGGTTGAGATCAAGGCATCATCACAAATTTCAAGCTGAAGTATGTCAAGGGAAGCTACAGTTTTATCCTGGAAACAGCCGAGAATGAAGGCCTTTCATTAGCGGATAAACGAAAGTAATTCAGCATCAAGAATTGTTTCGATGTGGTTCTAAAGGACATAAAACAAAGCACGTAATTCAACAAATTCAAGGAAAGTTTGGTGCGCCGGGGATAAGAAACACGGTGAAATCAACGAAATCATAAGAGATGAACCGGCTACAGCAGATGAAATTGTTAGCGAACTAGACCCATCT